GACAGCCCGCAGAATTCTCGGAACCGGGTTTGTTTCGTGTGAGCCATTTCACCGAGTGCACAAATGCGCACGATTCTTCAAAATAGACTGACCTTTAAATGTCATAAAGTATGTTACAATTACGGATAGCTTATGGGTGGGCACTTAAAAACTACCCGCTGCATTCAGTGGGGAGGGCACAACGTTATTATGCGGCTTTCGGGGAGTAACGGGCCTGGCAAATATACACCCACGTATATTTCAAGGGTTGAAGGAAGCCACTGTCAAGCAATTATCTGCCCGTTGTCTCGGCGATTCCAAACTTAAATGCCCCCCTAAGGGTGCATTGGGGCCACTCTACTTGTTCAGATAATTATTTCTGCACATATACTTTTCAATATCTGAAACTTGCGACAAGTAGGATGTCACATTTTGGATGGCCTAATTTGCCGTTGTTCAAAAGCAACATTTTTATTCAATATTTTACCTTCTGGTGCTGTTTTGCAATCGCATTATCTTCATGTTTCTGTTCAGTCGCCCGGTCTGTGCGTGGAGTAAACAGGTCGCATTGCCTTTAGCGGCAAACTAAATTGGCTTGCTTTTGTAGACGACCGCATCTTTGATTCACCAGGTAGATTTCGTTTGGTCGAGACTTGCGTTCGCGCTGAACCCATTTTATCCGAAATTAACTTTGCCAAATCGACCTAATTGGAATTTTTATGTGCAACGCCGTCAGAGAATCGCGAGAATCATGAGGGACGACAGCACCTAAGATCGGACCCAACAGGTTGGATGAGGGAAGCCGGAGATTGATAGTTCCAAAATTTAAGAGGTATCCTTTGCTTCTGTCCCTTTTACTGCCGTCCTGCAAGGTAAACTCTCAGCGCTCTAGAACCTGCATGATCCTGTTTCCGCCGTCATGAGTGGTGAGTTTCGGAATCTCCGTACATAAGTTAAAAGCATAGAGCTGAAGACGCACCGAGTTTCTTGTAGTTCTCTCTCTCACAAGAATAACACATTTAAAGCGATTATTCATCAGCGCTTATAAGAACACCACTGAATATCAATTTTGCTTGTCTTGGTGATGTGGGCGTTTTGAAAAAACGATCATTAAGCGATCACCTGGTTTTCCGCGCGCCCATCCGCTAAGATGCCAGACAGCTGAATCGCTTTTTTAGGGGTATGATGGACCTGAATCGGAAGGCTATAAGCATGGTTTCAGTAAAAAAGTTCGTTGTCGACATTCGTCCTGGCCGCTATGTTCCTTGTTATTGTATGTCCTAAACCCTTCTAAGGAAATGTAAATATGTTTCCGAATGGCCCAAGGTTGGTTATCGCGATACGGAAATTCAAGTCGCTGATAGGTTTGGCATCGCAAGTTTCAAAAAGAGGAATTGCATCCGAAAATCAACGGCACTATTTACACAACGGTAGGCAAATTAACACAACCAACCTCAATTATCCACGTCTGTGTCATCAACAGTTGCATAAATCTACCATTGCCCCGTACGGTTCAACATCGAAGTCAGCACAGCAAACATTGGCGAGCGGAATGCCGGCTCGTTAGTGAGGATCAAACCTCCTGAGGACATTTTATAATTCTGATTAGTAGTGCGACCACATGAAACACATGACAGTGAAAATCAGTGCGCGAAAAACCATGAGGAGGTAGCCCAGCAACGTAATTCCCACACACCTCGAAACATACAGAATTCAGACGGACAGGCTTTGCGGCAAGGTGAGAGGCATGCACAAATGGGCAAAACGAGCAGAAGTCAAAAGCGTATGTCAAAACGAGTAAGCAAATGAATAGGCGAATTATTACCAGGTCAATTTAGATCCAGTATTTGATCGAAGGCCGATATTTGGACTTGCCCCAACCTGGTACTGATCAATGGGATTTGGGGTCAGTAGGCGCCGCCTCGGCCAAGAATCTTATCCCGCATACAAATGGCCTAACGAGCGGACCAATTACCGGTGCAAAATTCAAGTGAGGTCTGACTGGCCGAAAATATAGACCAAAGAGCCGATCATTATCAAGGACCCACCGGAAGGCTGTTGCCAGTAGTGAACCTAGTTGTCGAGATTTCCAGGTGGTTGTCACCGAATAAGGTTTATGTATGACGTGCTCGACATGCGTTTTGACTTCGATTTGGGTGGTAATGCGCGATGTGGGTCATCAGTAAGTCTTTTGACGAACACACAGGCTTGGAAGATCCAGATGGAGGGCTAAGGTGAGGACTCGCCTCAAACACAACTGGCGGGCAGGAACCGACGAAATCGATGGAACCTTGTCTGCCCTGAAAATTATTGCAACAGAAGCAAATCAGACTGAGGAACCACAGCTGAAGTGCATTTAATCACTGCCCCAGTTTATGTATCGATGTATTGTAGTGGTCTGGCTACCCAAAACGTTAGTTTACCAGGAGTGTGTGGCAAGGAAATAAAAATGATTACGCTAGGTTGGGTATACAAAAATAAAGAGACCAGATGGAACAGACTCACTAACAATTGTTCTCTTTAAAATAGTTCGTCGTTGGCCCAGGTCAGCGAATAACCATCAGAAGAGAGAGTCGAAGCACGTGACCACGCCTGTATTATGTGAAATTGTACACGTGCGCGTTTTTTAGCTTTCCGTATTTAAACAAAAAACGATTGTGCAATTGATGAAATGCGTAGTGTTATAATGGACGCAAAATAAATGTACAAAGCGCCACATTATCAATAGCCTGTGCCCGTGGGTGTTCTACCCCTTTAGCTGATGGAGTCGTAGTGTCAGTGATGAAGTAAACATTTGGCCATATTTTGGGCTTACTTGTGTTTCTGGTTCAGGCTGTACAAGGACATGTTCAAAACGGATGTCTATTTTCGATGATGGATGAAAATTCAGATTATTGGTGCAAAAACTTGGCACATCGAAGTGAGAACAGTGTGCAGAATTGATTGTTCCCAAGCCGCTCCAGGACTTCAGGTCTTGTTATACGGTCAGAACAATGTCTCATACATTTGGTCATCAAATGCAACTCTTCGGTACCATTCACCAATGCCTCGAGCTTATCAAGAAATGGGGGAATTCATCAATTTTACCAGTTCTGTCGATCGGGAATGCGAACGTTTTAACGACAACAGAATGACGGAGAACCAGTCCAGATGCCTCATGTATTATCTGGTTTGCAGTCCTCTCATGATAGGGACATCAAAACCCAACTTCTTCTCAAAATCGAACAGCACGGTGAGCTGACTTTGCAGCGCCTCAGACTCCAACAGCAGTTGAATACATCGCCAAAATGCAGGTTGCGACCCTTGAGTGTAACCACGCCACGTAGAGCATTGGAAAACCATGGAGCACCTCTGAAGTGGAGAGCAAACTCAGCGCCGTCTATACCGGATTCCCACTAACCTCAAGTTCACCGGTAGGCGACAGTAACACCCTGAGTGATGACAAGTCATATAAGGCAGTGGTTAGATAAACAGTGACTTCAAGTGGGGGTGTCCGGGGAAGAGATACTCTGGATAACTAGGAATCACGCCGAACGAACCGATTTTGCTGGCCAACTGCGAACCAATCAAGGGCGTACCCTGACTAGTCAAGACGTGAGCGAATCGGCTTCGGGCTTTTTTAGGCCCGCGCTTCTCCCCCAACCCCGAAAATTTTGGCATGCATGCCCGTTATTTTCTGTGGTCACAATATGATCATGGTTATACCGGTCGTCCTTTGCCTCCATAAGTATCGGTCTAAAGTTATCATATGTTCTTATATAACATATTGAATCGAAGAGCAAGGCCCGACTGGACATGGGAGTTGCAATAGCCTTTTCAGTCGTCCTCGCCTACTCGTCAATTCTAATCCCAAGCCTATCAACGTGTCATGCCTTTTCACCGGTGAAACTTGTTTGATTCCCTCAATACACTTGGCAGACTTGACCATGGATCACAGCTGGGCTTTCGGGTTGGGTGGCCATTGCGTCAGGTCCTTTCTATAGTCGGTTGGACAAATGCAGGCCCTAGGTTTTCCTGCCCCCGATTGCTGCGTTTCAGAGGCCTTAATTCAGGGGCGAGTATTATCAACCCGACGCTCACCTTCCAATGTAACTACATCAAAACTGCCAACTCTCCAATGTTCCCACTTGATCGCACAACTCGCCTGACTTCACTTTCACAGTGCTGACTAGTACAACCGAATGATACGGTGGGGAAACCTGCAATATTTTTAGATTTTGATTTGTAATATGCACGCTGTGGAAGCACCAGGGGACAGTGATTCTCCGAAGGCAGGTGTTCACGACAATTTCTGCGGATGGAAAACAGAAATAAAGCTCATAAGCCAGAGCCCAGTAAGCAAGGTTGTACATCACCAATGCTTACATATGAATCAATGACACCGGTATACTACAGTTTGACACGGGAACGGAACACCCGTGCGACTTACAGATCGTAGTTTAAAAGTACATTTCCCATTTCGATGGGATTACGGCCGTTCTTCAGTGGGTGATTTAATAACAATAATAATAATATTCAGTTTCACATCACTCTCGTTTTGAACAGTCGTCCTCCTGTCCTGGCGCAATTATTCATGTGAATCCACACCAAAGGGGGGAAGCGCTTGGACTCGAGTTTAACGTTGGAAAACTGACGGCCGATTTGGACTTTTCGACCAACCGTTGCACCCTAACTTCCGACTCATTTCGAGTCCCCAGTGTCTCATGGGGATGAACATCCAAAGCGTCCCCTTAACTTAACGATCCTCTCGTTTTAGAATTCAGGAAAGGATAGTGTTGGTGTTGAAGTTGGCATCATCCGTTATTTTTGATGTTTTCCTCTGACATCCTTGTTATGCATGCCGTCACTTATTGCGCTATTTTCAGCTTCCAGTACCGGCTTCGTTCGTCCGTGTATTACTTTGAAGTCGTGCTCACGTGACCATGCGCTGCGCGGAAGAGCACCTTTTTTCCATGGAGAAAAGTTTGGTGGACCAGAGAAATTATAGGTATTGTTCCTGCTTGTTAATCATTTACTTCTAGATTCTTCAAACTGGAAAACGGCATCAATGTTATGGTAATCTCTAGTCTTAAGCCCGGCGAAGATCCCGACCCCGAATCCGATTCCGATGATTCATCAGAGGATACAGAAGACGATGATTGTCTAATGGAGACCCGGAATGGAGACGACGGGGTTGGTGATTTCACGGAGAACAAGGTACGTTTTTCGCTAACAACGGAACTGTCGGTTGGGGGGGGGGCACTACTTAATGTTTCTATGCTGCACATGTCCTCAGCACTGAAAATCGTGATCCCTTTCGGTGGTATCTTGTAACAATATCTTCCGACCCCGTTAGCAACTGCGCCGTAAGAAAGCAGCTCCCTTGACTCGGACCCCCAAATGAGACGCTGTTGAACGACCTGAATTTTTGTTCGCTCGGAAACAATGTTACACTAACGCTGCATCAACTTACGTTTACCATTAGCATTAGGTTAAAATTACATTAGGTAAATATAATGTTACATTGCGTTAACTGTGATCAAATTAGGGGTGGGAATTCCCACGCACCACAAGCCGTTTCATGAGAACAATGATTGCCAGCCATGAGTCCATTCCTTTCCTGTGTTAGTTAATTATTTCACCCGCTACTGTCCGTCCTTTCTGTTTTGTCCATAACTTGCAGCTATTTCACTGAATACTGCCTGTGTTGTATGGGCGCGTGATAAGCAGCGGTTACATTGACGTACGACAGTATTCACGGAATATTTTTCAACTAAGTCTGCTGCACAAAGACCGCCCCATGTTTCAGTTGGTACGATATTCGAGATATCGCAGTATATTTTCACAGCAGAAACTACTCACAAGGTTGCTGAAAACCCTTCGACAGCTCACAACCGGTTTCGTCCTTCTTGGGCATCATCAGGCCTCAGGCGCAATCGCCGAGTTTCCGTCAACCTTATGTTATACTTGTGCAGCACATTCAGTCGGAGAATAACCATAAACGAGAGATTCAGTTGATTTTCCCGTGAAAACCAAATTGATTTGCAAAGATCATCATCATCATCGTCAGCTGTAAGAACCGCGTACTCGTACACTGGTTGTAGCTGCCGCAGTTTCGTTCACCGGTGGTTTTGGGGGGAGGGGTAGGTAGCTGCGTGTTGCAGGCGGGAGCTGATAAATTGGTGCATGAATCCAGCACTGTCAGTGGGCTGTCAAGTGGGGGGTTGGGGGTTGGAAAAGGAGCTATGCATCGAAGGCAATAGCTTGGATGCACGAGCGCCACTGAGGGCGCGACTGGGCCATGTCTGATAATGTCTCCAGCCATTGATGTGGCCCGTCTCGGGGTCCCCATCCAGGAAGACGGCAGCGACCA